TTTCACAATATTTTTCAATTGGATGGTAATTTTATGGACACCGTTGTTTTCTAAAACTTTTGTTGGAAATCCCTCCCACCAACCTATCTGTGGACATGCGTGGGGACACTACTGTATCCCTGGTATCAACAAAGTACAGGAATTTCTGTTTAGTTTGGTCGTTGTCCCCTTTCGATACCAAAAACTACTCTCCGACGACAATTCGCCTCCAATAGGACGAACTTAACCGAAAATAACAAGCGCGTAAGGCAATCGACCCTAGTGAGAGAAAGGGGCAACCTCATCCCCAGGGCGCTTTTCCCCGGCTTTGGAGATATGGAAAAGCACCCTGGGGACAAGGTTGAGAAAGGGGGTTGACGCGCAGGGTTGAAGCTCCATCCCTTTCAGGTCTATTGCTCCGCTTGATATCAGTCATATCTTTGGAAAGTTTAAGGTTTTGGTTGTAAGTTTTTTAACAGTCGGTATTTATTTCAATCAATTTTTTGTTTCTTTCTTTTTTCACTCAGCAAATCTCCCTTTTTTGTAACGTTGCACACTACAACAAGGATCGAACCGACATAACTTCCGTTGGGTTATTCTGCAAATCTCAACAAATGAGAAAAGTACTCTTTGTAAAGACCCCTCCTGTCATGTAAAATCTCTCTCTCCTAAGAGGAGACGGTTTTCACATATGCTATTCAAAACCTGGGCACCAGAAGTTTCGCACAAGGTACCTAAGGCTCTCGTTTACTTTCCCCTTGTCCGCTGGACTGTTATTTACAAAGCCAAACGAAAATAGAGCCTCATGTTCCGTAGCAGTTTTCAACGACCGGTGATCACTACCAGAGTTGATTTTCATTCGCCAGTCTTCGTTAATGTATTGTTACTTACACCTCCCTGCTAGTTATAGTACAAGAGCAAATATTTTGATAAACGTCACTACGTAATGTAACCTGGCATAGAATGTAACGAAGTTCAGTATCTTATACCGAGACACTTCTTGTTGTTTGCTCAACTAAACAACGCAACCCCAAAACAGTCCCCTATCCGACAAGTTGGAGTATTGGTAGTCAAACATTCCTATTTCCTCTTAAGATCAGCTGTAAGATTAACGAAAACCAATGTCGCTATTGCTGAAGGTATCAAAAAGTTACGCCTAGAGGGAGACAGTAGTAAAACAAACATCACCATATTTTTGGTAAACTTCTTTGGCGCAATTCAAACCTATACCTCCCAAACACTCTAAATGGCAAAAAAAAAAAGGTAAAGCTAGAAACACAACGAGCATCCGGGTAATAATTCAAGATAGCTCCGTGGAAGAGAAGCAAATTCAATTACTGTACTTGAGCACAATTTCCCAAACCAAGCGACTAAAGCCTACTAACAACAAGACCGGACATAATCGTCCCCCCCCCCCCCCCCCCCCCCCCCCCCCGAAAAAAAAATTCGGTCGTACCACTTTTCGAACAATGCCCGCAACCCAATGTCCTGCCCATACTTTTCTGGCTTTTTCATCAAGGAGGCAACGCCACAAAAAAAGATTACATTCATGTCCCAGCGTTGCCCCGCTGCTCAAAAACTCAGAACACTCTGGGTAAGAGATTGCTTGCAACCATTCTTGGGAAGGTGGGCCTTGTAGCCTGGCCTCCAATCAGAACGCCGTAACAAGCAACACGGGCGATATGCGCCCGCAATATATGTAGTGCCGCAAACCCTTCAGTTTATAGACAGTTTATATGTGTTTAACGGGAACTTAAACATGTTAAAAGCTTTATTTTCTTGGATTCTGCTGACGACCTTTCCATTCTTTCGATCCACAAAACAGCCATGAAAACAAATAGAAACAGGATGTACCTACAAGGTAAATTTTGAAATGTCTCTTTTGCGCCAATGTTGGATTAATAAGTGAAAATCATTTTCGAAACGAGTTATAACATCTCTTGAAAACGATGGTGATGACAATTGAATATTCTTATTAACTATTACTATGTAAAAAGATTCCTTTCGTTTGTCAATGTTGTCAACTCATATATCACAATCAACAGATGTTCATTACACTCGATGTATGTTAGAAATGCTTCCAAGTAGTCAATTTCAAATGTCTTATTTCCTCCCAACGATGTTACTAATCATCAATAAAATATAATTTATCTCCTCATTTCTGATTTTCAAAATTCGTCAACTTTGATTTTGCGTTTGCCGTTTCCACTAAAAGTGATGCTTAACTTCTCTAATATGTCACAAAGAATACATGTTGATAGTGGTCTTACAGTAGCTACAGATGGCTAAGTTGTGAGCGTCTTTTTGATAAACTTGAATATTTCTTTGCTAATCAGGAACCAAGAAGCCAGAGAGTGACATTGCAAGAGTCATTCGTAAAACTTGAATTTCTTTACAATATCGCCCATTCGCGCACTTGTTTTAAGGTAAGTTAATTAACCTCTGTGAAGTAGAATTCCCACCTTGTGCAGTTTCCACAAATTCAGCTAGATATATTTCCATCTTTATTCATTTACTCAGTAGTAAATCATTACAGGGAAGATGATGTTTACCGTAACTTTGGCGTTTGTATACATTATTTAACGGTAATCAAAACTACCTTACTGTCCCTTTTTGTCTCAAGAGGAGCATTGCATGACAAGAAAAAAACAGCTGTTAGGGTAGCCTGCGTAGCTGGCGGTATTGTGTGGTTAAAGTTTTTGCGGTGGAGCCGTGTTCCAAAAAATAGGATTAGGGACGAGGTGAATGGTATTTCTCGCGGCTTCGCCGCTCATGACTGCTCCGCCGTCAAATCTCACTCGACTATATTACAATGGCTCCGCCGCCAAATCTCACTCGACTACTACACAATACCACCAGCTACGCAGGCTACTGTTAGGGAGACTAAAACTACCTGTCATTGTTCAAGATGCTGTCATATTTTTGACCTGGAGATGGCCGCAGAAAATTCCTTAAACTTCAACTATATTTCAATGAAGCAGCAATTTACTACAAGATAACAGGCTTAAAGTTTTTAATAGACAATCAAAGACTAATGATTAATGGTAACAAACTTTATCTCCTGAACATGCCAATTTTAACCAAACAAAAATAACATTTAAAAAACAATTAAAAAAGAAATGTGGGTTCCTATTAACACATCAATTTCTATTTAAACATAAACATTCAAAAATACTTCTGAATACTAACATTATTAAACACGAACTACTGAAACATCAAATTTCAGTTCATAATCAAAATTAACTTCAATAACAACCACTGTTCAAATTTATTGTTACACAACTCCAGTTTTCTCTATTATCCTCAAGTAACCAACTGAGTACATAAACTGTCCTTATTTTCACAATAAATCTGCTCACACTGTCCAGAACAAATGGATCATTTCTTCATCTTCACAAAAAAACAGTATGCCCCAAGTTATGTCAATACATTTTTTCCATATTCAGTGGTATTGAATAATGATGGTTACATCTACATTTATTAGAAAAATCTCTTGTTGATTTTTCCCTTAACTGTATAACTACTTCCATATTTGATACAGTTTTGAATTTTTTTTTCTCTTGAACATTTTTTAGGGTGCTTTATCCTTAGTCACTCATCATCATAAAATTAATATTTGTACATTTGTATATGTCTGTAAGTGACAACAAGAAGTGACCAACCACATAATCATTGTTCTCCATATTGTACTATAATGTCTCCCTACTTGGCCATTTCCTTGAGATTTTTAATATTTAGTTGTCTTATTTGCAGCTACTCCTTTCGTTGTTAGAAACTCGCCTAACTGTTTGCTCATTAAGAAGACTCTGTGATGACAATCAGGGCATACGCTGGCATTCCCACAAGCGACAAAGGTGAAGTAAGGCACTTCATAACAGTTGTTTTCCAACAATCACAACTTGGAAAGATAAATGGAATAAGTGAATACTGACATCAACCACCACCAGCAAGGACTTCTTTCCATTATTCACTAGCGCACGCCCTTTCAAATCAACATTAATCCTCTTGAATTGCTCAGTGGTCTTGAAGATGAGAAGCATCTAATGAATATTATACTTGGCTTTACTTTGACAACACATAGGGCATTAGCTTGTCATTGTATTTATCTTCTCAATAGAATAAGCTAGATGTAAGTTCTTCGTTTCGACAAAAAAGTTTTGTCTGCTCACTGATTCACACCATGGCGATTACTAGAGATTGTAAAGTCACTCTTTCGTTCCAGTTGCACACATCATATTTTTAGTACTTTGACATTGTACATCAAAATGCGAAGGCAACTGTTCATTAAAACAATCTTCTGATTGTTCTTCTTCTGCATCTAACTGTATATCTTCATTTTCTTGATCATTAATGCAATCAAATGAGTGAATGANACCAACCACATAATCATTGTTCTCCATATTGTACTATAATGTCTCCCTACTTGGCCATTTCCTTGAGATTTTTAATATTTAGTTGTCTTATTTGCAGCTACTCCTTTCGTTGTTAGAAACTCGCCTAACTGTTTGCTCATTAAGAAGACTCTGTGATGACAATCAGGGCATACGCTGGCATTCCCACAAGCGACAAAGGTGAAGTAAGGCACTTCATAACAGTTGTTTTCCAACAATCACAACTTGGAAAGATAAATGGAATAAGTGAATACTGACATCAACCACCACCAGCAAGGACTTCTTTCCATTATTCACTAGCGCACGCCCTTTCAAATCAACATTAATCCTCTTGAATTGCTCAGTGGTCTTGAAGATGAGAAGCATCTAATGAATATTATACTTGGCTTTACTTTGACAACACATAGGGCATTAGCTTGTCATTGTATTTATCTTCTCAATAGAATAAGCTAGATGTAAGTTCTTCGTTTCGACAAAAAAGTTTTGTCTGCTCACTGATTCACACCATGGCGATTACTAGAGATTGTAAAGTCACTCTTTCGTTCCAGTTGCACACATCATATTTTTAGTACTTTGACATTGTACATCAAAATGCGAAGGCAACTGTTCATTAAAACAATCTTCTGATTGTTCTTCTTCTGCATCTAACTGTATATCTTCATTTTCTTGATCATTAATGCAATCAAATGAGTGAATGACATTGCCATTGTTATTTCTAAGCCACTGCAATGCGTCTGAAACTGCTTCTGCATTTGGTTCAAACATTGCCCTATTATGTTCAACTATAGCTTGAACATCTCCTTCATAAAACTTGCACATATAACTTCCTTCTTTACCACACAAACCTCCTTCATCCCGCCATGGGTAATATAACATTAGCAAGTGATGAAAAAACACCTCAGGTTCCTTTCTTTTGTTTGGTGTATGATATCTGATAACTGCCTTAATTTTTCTGCATTTCATAATTTCACCAGAATTTATTAATTTTATTTGTCGAGGCAATGACAGATCACTGTTTGTGGAGCTATGTTGAATTTCAATTGTATCATCAGTAAGCACTTCTGGTTGAGCATCACTTGCTTCATCACAACTCTTTTTTTTGTATTCCTTGTAGTAATATGCTGCAAATTCAGCAAGGCAGAGATCATTCACAGCAGCTATTGAAGTTGGTCTAAGCTTGTAGCGCTCAATAATGTTCGACTTAAAAATATCTGTACTTTCATCATCAAGTTCTTCAAGTTCCTGTTGTGTCTTTGCAACTCTAACTCTTTTATCTGGTAAGTCTGTGTTAACAAATACAGTTCTTGGAAAAATTTTTCTCAACCAAAGTTCAGGCATACATCTGTAAACACATTCCTGTGAACTCACTTCTCGAGAAGACAAAAAAGCTGCACCAATTTTCCTTAGCCCCTCTCTGATCTCCATGTTACCAGCTTTTGCTTCTTTCGCTGCATTCATAATTGCCTGTGAACATCGAGTTTCATCCTTTGTGAAATATGAGCATACATAAGTGATACATTTGTAATGATCAAATACAGGCTGCAAGTCAACATTTGCTCCAAATCCTTTTAAACCAGCAATGAAATAGTTATTTATGAAACAACTGTCAAGAGACCTCTTCAAGTGCAGCTCATAATTAGAGTCTGAAAAAATTGATAGAGCTGACAAATACTGGTCTTTACTAATACCAATAGATGTAAAAATGTCATCTTCAGTTAATAATGAATTATATGTTGACAGACTTGGATTTAATACCTCATCTATTTTCTGTTTTACTAAACTAAGAATTTGATTTCTATTTTGTAGCATTTTTGATTTCATACTTTCATCTAGCTCTTCAGAAAGTGGTTCAGCAACAATTGTTCTATCTGTGAAAAATTTTCCGAAATGGAACCTACATTGAACATTCTTATACTTTCTACAGCTTTTAGAATGACTGTGTCTTTGATACATATTTACTAATTCATGTAGTTCCCCATCTGTTTCTTTACTAGGAACAAATGCCTGAACATGTTTATCTATGTAATCAATATATGTACCTTTGTTATCACAATCCAATTTTGGACAATCTGAAGTCCATATTAATGCATGTAAATGAGGTGAACCTCTCATTTGAAATTCTATACG